TGCATTTATTATTTACATAACTGAAAATTTGCTTAAAGAAAATGTAAGTAAATGTCACAAAGAGCCCTTTGTAAAACAACAACCAGGACATATACCAAGGAGAAACTTAAGAGTGTACTTAATATGTTTTGTTTGTTTCACTGCCCGATAAGACAGTAGTTTTGGTTATAAAAAATGTGCAGTTCAAATGGACACAAATGATTTAGTGTTCCTTTAAGACACTTTCCAAACAACTCAGGCTTCCCTCATTTATAACAGAGCACAGCGAGTATCTGTGACAAGGATTTTATAATAGAATCTCATTTTGAACTATGGCTCGCCCTGTAAAAGTCACTTTAATAAAGTACAGTAAGAAACAGAGGGATATGAGAGAGAGAGAGAGAGAGAGATTCTAAATAGAGGACAAAGCCAGAAGCACATGCCTGAAAATGGAGCAGGCAATTAAGGGCTTCATGACCTCAATGTTTCTTCTCTCTCTCTTTTTTTTAATCTCTTCTCTGCCTTTCCTTTCTCTCCTCTCCTCTCGAGTCACCTCACCTGGCGTACGATATGTGTGTTTTAGATTGTGGCTCTGAGAGTTTTCTAACAGTAGCATCATGTACCTGGCGCACACGCACCTGTTGAGTGATCACATGACCTCCTGTGGCCTCTGGGCGCTCCACATCCTGAATAATTCAGTTCAGAGAACAACACTGGAGGTGTTCACACACACGGATGAAACACAACACTGAATTCTAATGTCCCTAATGGCTACTAGGCAGAGAGAACAAGTCTATTTCTACATATTCATACTGTGCGGGTGATGATATTGTTAATAGCGGTGCTTGTTATGGTAAGCATAATGCTCCAAGGCCAATGGTTATGGATTTGAACAAATTCAAAGTCCAAGTATAAAACTTCAGTGCATAATTGGCAACAGACATGAATGATATATCTCATCATACTTATATGTTATAGTAAAACAGTACTTACTGTATATAATACTACACTTAGAAGGAGGTGGGCTTTTTTGACTTATGCTTGGTTTTTAAAGTAAAGACAAAAAGCTTTCATTGCGACCGTCTATGCACCTGGCCCCAAAATGTACATCTCATGAAGAAACAGGATGGCTTACATAAGGTTTAAAAGTACGATTTGAGAGATCAGGAAATGATCTAGCAGTTACATGCTCAAACAGAGAGCAAGAAAGCCAAATAAAGAAAGTGAAGTCAGTCTTGTGTGGTCATTCAGGGCTAAACAAGCTAGAACTGAATGATTCATGTGCATGCAGGCTAACGGAAACCGTCATGTACCTTTATGCATTAAACAAACGCCTATTAATGATTTTTTTTCAATACAAGGCAAAAAATAGCTCCACTAATAGCTCCACAGGTCTTTTAATTGCTGGATATACCTTCAGGATACAAAAAATACAATTTCTGCAATGCATTCTGACTCTGCTTTTAGATAAGGGGTGAATAATAATGAAACCCTGATCAGAACATTGTTGCTCCACTCTTGTGTAGCCACAACAAAACGTTTATGCTTGGAAATGTCAGTTTAAGATGGTAGCTCTGTTTGGGAACACGGTAGCTGGTTTCTAGCAGGTCCAAAACCTGTCTGATGACCTCAAACTGGCCTCTGTTGCTGATCCAACTTCTGGGCCATTTGTACCTTCTGGACTCATATTGGACCATTTTAGGATGGGTTTTCCAGCAGGGTTGTTTGTTATTGTATATAATTTATTGTCTACTAGTTTTTTGCTACCAAGAAAATAAGAGAAAACATTCCATATTACACACAAAGAAAAGTGAAGTCAGTCTTTTGAGGTCATTCAGGACCAAACAAGTAAGAACTGAATGACTCATGTGACTTCAAGTGTAGGGGATGTGAAATAGCCGAAGTCTCAGAGCAGAAACCGTTTCGTTTCTAAAAACATACGGTTTTAGAAAGCTGCCCCTGCAGAGCCCAACTGTTGAATTTGACACATCCGTCAAAAAACATGTGCAGAAATACCTCCACTCTGCCGGAAACGTCAACACGGCTGTCGTTCTTTAGGAAAAGCTATGGATGAAGTGAACTAACATGGTTATAAGAATGCTACGGCTTTTCCTTGCCATTTTAGCCCGGTCAATAATCTATATTTCAGAAGGAAATAATAACACTATACTGTAAAGATCAGGCATGCTGTGTACTGGTTTATAATGGCCAGTTGGATGACTGTGGGTGGATAAATAAAATCTGCGTGTGCCTGAGCGTGGGTGAAGAAAACCGTACCATGCCAGCAGCATTTTTTTTTATGAGGGGAAATGAAGATCGGTGAGACCCTCTTAATTGTGTGCTTGAACGGGCCAGCCAGAGTTGCCATGACTCCTGTCTCTTGGGTTGCTATGACGGCAGCGTCTTCACATAGAGCTCAGATCCACCTAATCATAGGTTTAATAGATGTGTGCTCACAGTCGGAGCTCTTCTATTACAAAACACTTCTCCAACTGAACAATCATGGTCATAGTTTATTTTACAGAGATGTAATCTTCTGACACCTTGTTTAGTGATACTGTAATTATATTAACGTGCAATGTGTAACAATACTGTAAAGTCTCATATGATCGTTTAAAAGGGTAAATCACAAATGGGAATAAGACTTGGCTGCATGTGTGGTAGAAAGGCGAAAAATAATAAGTTTATATCCGTGCTACCTGGCTAGAGAAAACCGAGGAAATAAAAAGCTGTTGTCCTCCCTTTTGCCCATAATATTGGATTCCAAGGCCACTCTTAGTCTGCTCCTATTGCATAAGTTTGATCAGGGTTAATGCCGCCTTGCTTTAGTAGGAAATACTTCTCAGCAAACTTTTAGTCACAAAGGTATCAACTTGTTCCAGAAGAGTAAAGGTTTAGCTGTGATGAGTTATTTTTAGTTTGTAAGATGGCTCTTAGCCAAGGTCAGTTTACTTGGCGCCATGACCAAGTACTGCGATGTTTGGCTTCGGCATTGGAAGGCAAGTGTAACATTACCAATAAGTTGCCACCAGTTCTAGCAAAACATTACACAGAGAAGACAATGTTCCTCTGCCCAAGCGTGCAACCACCAAGAAAAGGTGTTAAAGGACAACTCCGGCGAACAATGAACCTTTGGTCTAATAAAACATCGGTACCTAGTCAATCGTTCTCTGAGATTTGTTTTCATGGTAATCGAATGTAAAGAGTTTTATCTCTAAAAACTGTTTAGCGTATTAATGCTATTAATGCTATGCTATTAAGCAAAAAGAAATCGCTAGTTTATACCACTAACAAGGCTCAAAATAGCCCCACACTAACACAGTAACATAATGAGGGTCCCTACATGCAAAACGAAGCATTGGGAACTTTGTAAGTGTACAGACCGTTTAATAAGAAGATATTTTATGAAGACAGTTCACTTCGCGTATACAGACAGGAGCCATCTTAGAAAATAGTCTCGATAAGTCGATCCCCGAACGCCGTTCATACAGTTCAGAGGTTTGCTGAACTTCATACAGTTCAGATCACTCAGCACGACGTTCGTGGCTTGACTTGTCGATGGCTCCTGTCTGTATACACGAAGTGAACTGTCTCTTCATAAAATATCTTCTCATTAAACGGTCAATACAAAGCAGGTCAATACAAAGCAGGTTGATAATCGGCGAACTTACACTTTAGGTAAACCTCTCAGACGTGCATTATGAAATTTGGACACAATCTATTCAAGGACTGCCTTCCTCCAGTGCAATAATCCGACCTGGTTAATCCGACTCTCCCCTGGTTAGCACACAGAGATTAAATTACTGCAGTCAAAGCGACCAGGGCGACCCGCCGCAGCACGTAAAACACAGGTCTGCGAGGATGCACAACAAGGACTGTACATCAGTGCAACTATTATGTGGTTTAAACATGGTAGATGCACAGAGGTACATCTTTATAGGTCCAGGAGGAATTGAATATCAGCTAACAACCTGACTGAGAGGAAATCACTATTGTGTGGTGGATGAAAACATGCATGCATGCAGACTGCAAAACAATCCCGCTGTTTATCATTAAACACACGTGCATGACCACATCCACTGCAAAAGCAATGCATGCAGGCTGACGGAAACCGTCATGGCCCTTTATGCATCAAACAATACAATCCAAAAAATAGCTTCACACTTCAGAAATAAAAATATAATTTCTGCGGTGCATTCTGACTCTGCTTTCAGATAAGGGGTGAATAATAATGAAACTCCGATATTGCTCCTCTCTTGTGTAGCCACAACAAAACGCTTATAATGCTTGGAAAAGTCAGTTAAGGATGGTAGCTGTGTTTGGGAACATGTTAGCTGGCTTCTAACAGGTCCAAAACCAGTCTGATGACCTCAAACTGGCCTCTGTTGCTGGTGCAAGATGCCAACTATTGATCATATGTACCATTTTAGGATGGATTTTCCAGCAGGGTTGTTATAAGAGGAAAATACATTTAGCATTTACAGCATTAGTTCTCCATTACATACATTTTACCAATGATAGCCATTCACTGTAAAAATGTTTAGTCATTAATATATGACACCTTTGGGTCAATGTATTAACTGGTACTTGACTGTTTGAGTTTCAAATTGATTATCTTTGTCCGTAATTAATTTCAAAGTTGTCAAAAAAAAAGTCTAATGAACTTTGACACCACTTTAATTTCACTTTTAAAAATGGCAGTATTACTAGTAATAACTTATGGTTAACTTAGTGTGTTATTATGGTATATTAGCCACCACTGCAAAAAGTGAGAGAAATATCCTGACACTGTTTGAAAACACGAATGCTTGATTTTACATAAAGGCTATTCATAGTGCTGAAACCAGCATCTTAAGCAAGCCTATATGGTTTATAGGTTGTAGTTCAACTGGTTGTCAAGCGTACCCAAAACCACCGTAAAACCCGACCGAACTCACAGACGGGGAAACTATGGTTACCATGGTGAATTTTAAGTGGGTTCTGCTATAGCCGCATGTCAAAGTCTAAACAAAGTTACTCACGTCCCGAGCACCTCTTTGAATTCAAACATCTCCTTGATATCATCGACCTGCTTCTTCCACGAGCAATTTCCGCCGGCCTCTCCGTTCTCCCGAGCCATGGTTCAAAATTCGGGGAGGACCGTAGATGGAGAAGTGAGCTGGAGATCCCCGGGGATTTTCTCCGCTTTCCCACGCTGCACTTCCTGCTCTTTCTTCTCTCGCCTTCCCCGGTTGAAACGTTCCCGAACAACCCCGGTGAGGATCTCCCCAGTGCGCTCGTCTCCCTCGGGCAGCTTAAACGGTTTGAAGGAAATAGTTCAGAGTGTCGCGTGCGTGCGTGTTTCACCTTTGCGGTGTCTTAACGGCACCGGTGCGTGTTTATTCCGCCGCGCGCGGCTGATGAATGTTAAACCCGCGCGGACTGATGCGCTGCATCCGTTGTTATGGCAATGAGGAGAGAGAGAGTGTGAGTGAGTGAATGAGGAGGAGGAGGAAGATGCTGTGCTCCTCACCGCGCGACCTGACAAAGAGCAAATGCATGAGAAATATGGCAAGCCGTTTTAACACTCAACTAATGAGCATCTTTTTTTGTTGTTGTTACGAGTTAATAATTATTTATTTATTTATTTTTACAACGACTATTCATTCATTAGATACCAGTACTTTAACTATTAACTAGTTACTGATATCTATCCTGGCGTTTCTAGTTTCTTCCTAGACAATGGTAAGCTATCAATCTGTATTGTTACTTGCACCCTTTTTTATCTCACTTACTAACAGGGTTGGCTAAATGGTGTCTATTAAATTCGAACTAGGAAAATTGAATAGATACTACTATTGCAATACAATTAACTAAAGAATAAGTATTAGAGCTAATGTTAATAGTACATTCTAAACAGTTAATAGTAAACCTGGAACCGATTGACTGATTAAAACATTGTGCATTGTGGAAAGAACCATAACTAGTCACTGTTGAAATAAGTACTGGTATCTAATGAATAATACAATAATATAATAGTTAAAAATATAGTTTCTATTGGATCTCTTCCTAGTGTTTACAAATATGTTCTATTGCCATAAAAAGTAATATTTGCATGTAATATTTCAACACGATCACACTAAATGCGTCTCTATGCGTGTGGGGTGCCTGTGTATTATACGTTTGGGTAGAATTAGTGGTGTGGGGTGCGTGTGTATGACCTGGAGATGAACTGCGTATCATATCCACGTAAAACTAATTTTTGCGTATAAATTGCACGATAAAACACAATGCGTGCTACAGAGACGCATTTACGAGAGAACAGGCTGAATAAATGTTACAATGGCTTGCCATATGGGAGAGGAGAGAAGAGGAGGAGGGGAGATCGTGTGCTTGTGTGGATTGTTCGCATTGCACCAAAAGCATGCTCAAGTCCAACTGAAAAAAAGCATGCATCCATTCAGATCAATTATTTTAATAAAGTCTAAGTAAATAAAACAGTGGCCACATTAATGTGCATTTTGGCACATGCAAGACGATGATATTAATCACTGTTAATAGCAACTGCGTTTTAAAGCAACAAAGTCAATATGTCAGTTTAGGCAAAGTCAAGGTAAGACAACACTTTGGCTACATCTGGTGGCACCTATTAGCAGGCTGATGATGATCATTATCCACAAACCAGCTTCACAGTTCTGCACGCGCCTCGCCTGTGTTTAGCAATAAACTGTTACTCTGTGTGTGCAGGAAATTCTTCAATTATTTAACACAACATGACTTAAATAATACAAATTAACACAATTGCACAGTAAAAAATAATATGTTGGTGGCCTTCTCATAAGTTGCAATGTGACTTTTATGAATATGGTGAGAGGATGCCAGAGCTTTTATGAGTCACTTTAAAACATTTAGTTACAGTGACAACCTTTTCAATATTTTACCCAAAAATTACACTCACTCGCTGTACCTCCCCCCAGGAGATACACATAATGCAAGGCAATGCATATGTAAGGGTTAAAAGGGTTTTTGAGACCAGGCCTTAAAGCACTGAAGCTTGCTTGACACGTGTCTTCTGGATGTCAGATTGGACTGTTCACTTGTATCAGTACAGTCAGCGGAGAGGATTGTGTGTGTGTGTGTGTGTGTATGTATGTCAGTCAGTTTCTCTGCTCATGAGTATTCCAGCTGCAAACCACTGCAGTTTCTCGGCTCTGGAAATTCTGTCCCTCCCTTTGCATTTTGTCTCTCTCTTTTCCTCTCTCTCTCTTTAGCTCTGACTGAGTCAGCAAATCTAAGCAGTTTGATCTGACAATCACCCCCCCCCCCCCCACACACACACACACACACACACCCCACCCCTGTTTGTCAGTCATTAGAAAACATTGCCAAACCTAGACACGCTCACTGATAGTTCATATGTTAAATTCAAATTAAAATCTAATTTTAATAGACTTGTTCATCCTATTAAATACACCGAAATTAGTGGACTTTTTGGGGAGAAGGAACATTGTGTGTTACTTTACAATAAGGTTTAATTGGTTAACAATGGGTATCATAAAATATAGCACATTTTTAACACCATTTATTAACTTAGGTTATATAAATAGTACTGCTGTCAAGTCGATTAATCATGATTAATCGAATCTAACATAAGTTTTTGTTTATATAATATAAGTGAGTGCATATATATATATATATATATATATATATATAATTATGTGTGTGTATATACAGTTTACACACTCTCACACACACACACACACGTATTATGTAAACAAAAACTTATGTTAGATTTGATTAATGGGGATTAATCGATTTGACAGCACTAATAAATATAATATTGTTCATTGTTAAATAAATTTTTGTTCATAAAACAGTAGTGGGCTATTAAACCATCAATATATGAGGAAAATATTTGAAATAAGACACTAAACATAAAAAAAAAACTAAACTTGGCTAAGGTATTTATCTGACAAAATTATATGGAAAAACTACTGGTTTCATTTATATGCAAATAAAATGAAACAGAAAAACAGAAAAAAATTATACAATGACTACCACAAAATCAATTATTAAAATTAAGTAAAAGATAAATAAATAATTTTGCACATTTTGGTATTTTTTTTATTGCATTATCACAAATAAAACGACTAAACCTGACCATGATTATGCAACATTAAAAAAATCTCTAACATTTTTTTTATGATATTTGAATAAAAGGATGTCAGTTTTCTTAGGCTGTTCATTAACATTAATTAATTAGTATGGTTAATTAACATTAACCCACACACTACAACAGGTTTGTTTGTCTATTATTTTGTGTTTGCTTCAGCAATGTTAACGTATAAAACCTTATTATATAAAGTGTTAACTAATATTGTGCTTGCTTCATTTCTATAATTCATTTTCAAGACTATTTGACAGTGTTCCAAAACCTTTTGATGTCTTTTCAATTATTTTTTTTCATTTGCTTACGATTACTAGATAAGGATTTAATAATAATTACATCGAGAACTGCACGAAACAGTTGACGAAATATTTTACTGCCAAAGCCGAAAACAACTGAACTAGAAACAGATCTTTTTTGAACTACATAAATGTCCGTGACATTGGAAAATTTTATGAAATTGCATTGCCTGGAAATTAAATTTCTTGATATTTCCATGTTTTCCAACTCTAAATTAATAAGATTCATTATGTACTAAAAGTAAGATTTAAGAGAAAGTTTGGCAACATTTTATTTTAGTGTCCTAGTTACACATATACTGCATGTTGCTGTAGTAATAACACTGTAATGACTACAGTAAATACATGCAACATACAGTTCATTATGATTACATTATATATTACATGCACTAACCCTAAACCAAACCCTAATCCTATATTAAGTACATTAAATATATAAATACACTATAACAAGGACACCTTACAAAATTGGTAACACTTTATGATCTAATTTTCACAATATAAACTAGTTGCTGTTTTGCATGTATATTACAAGGATATTGGCTGTATATTAGCACACATTCAAGCCTTATTCTGCATGACCATATTCTACATCCTACATAATACCTAAATTGAACAACTACCTTAATAATTAAAAAATTTTTTACCAAAAGTTAGCTTATTCTTGCACACAAAGTTCTCTGGTATTTGGCGCCCCCACATGGATGCCGAAAAATCAGTCTAGAACAAAAATCCAGTTTGTTCTCATTATGGAGATTTTAACATATCATTGACACAGAAACCATTTTTTTCATTATTATACATTTTTATTACTTAATAACACAGTTTTAAAACTATTGCACTTGGAATTTGTAATGTGTGCGAGCACTACTGCAGATGGAAAGCATAAAAATGTCTTCTTCAATGCAGAAGCCTGTTAAGTATTTGACAGGGACTTCCTAGGTCCGCATCGCATTGTATACAGTAATGAGACCTTCCTGCAAAGTTTGGTAGGCCTACTTCAATGTAATTTTAACCCTGAAGAAGCCAATCAAAATCTTTCAAATGACTTGAAAAATATATACAGGTCTATTCAAGCAGAGCTGGAAGTAAACTGCAGGAGAGCCGCACTTACATCCAGCACTTCTGTTTACTACTGAGGCCCCTCCCCTTCCGCATCAGACTCCTCCTCCTCCTGCTGCCCCCTCTTCTGTAATTACAGAGGAAGGAAAGAAACACACGTGTAAAATCAGACACATTGAATCAGCCATATTCTTTTTCTACAGAGGTCCTTGTTTTAACCATATCTCACTCACCAGCTTGAGAAAATCAATGAGTTTATAGGCATCTTCCCCTGTGGTCAGGTCCAGGAAGTCCCGTGGGATTCTGTAGGACAGACATGGGCTGGGCTGCACCGTGACCTCACTGGTGGTGCATCGAAATGCAGGTCCGTCCTAATAAAATATGGTATGCATGCCATTAATAAAACAGCACTTTTGTCTGTTAAAATGCTGCCAGTGAAATATATTTGAACAGGGTTTTATGTATAATAGGTGTAACCAAGTGTAAACTACCTGCTGTGTTGTGTCCTCTTGCGTCTGATTGGCTGAGAGATTTTTGCCAGATGTTAGCTCCTCCCATGTGAAAAGCAAAGAGTCTGTGACATCACCGAATGGGTTGAAGTCAATCACCCACACACGTCCCTTTAGAAAAACAAACTTTTTTATTTAAAAGGTTTGTGCACTGCAGTGTCGAATCATTAAAGAGGCCATACGATCAAAGTCTTGATTTTGTTTTTAGGGTCTACTAGAATTTTACAAATGTAAAATTTGTATTCATAAAAACCTTACTGAGCTGTCTCTGTAAACATCCAGGACAACTGGAAAAAAGAGAATATTGTTAATGAACAAATGTAACTTTTTTTAAAACATTAAAACAATTATTTTCTCCTCCACATTGACATACTTACAGTCCTCATCTGGGAACTGGTATTGGATGTGGTCTCTGAAGAAATTCAGTATAGATGAGGAGATGCTGGCCTCTTGTTTGGTGATGTGATGGTAATGTTGTGTGTAATCTCTCTGACAGATCGCTAATAAACAGAAGATTATCACATGCTACATTATATTATACAATGCATTCAATTAAAAGCATTACATTCAAAACAGAATATTCACATATTAGTTAGTATGTTCATACCAATTAGTTTATTCTCTTTCACAAAGCAACGGAATTCTCCTCCTGGAATGAGTTCGCTCCATTTTCTCAAAACCAGCTGCACAAAATGAGTCACACAGAGAAACTATATATTATTTAATAGTATTTATTTAGTGAAGAGACATTTAAGGGTTATCCATCAGGTTTCATTGCGGTATAATAAAATCTAATCTAATCTAAAATAATATAATGCAATATAATGTCATGTTCAAAAGTTTGGGGTTGATAAGATTTATGTTTTTGACTCTTATACATTTATTTTGAAAAAATACAGAAAATACAGTAATATTACTAAACATTTAATATCACTTCTATTTTAATATAAATATCATATTACATAAATATAAAATATCATTTATTTTTGTGATTTATAGCTGAATTTTCAGCATCATTACTCCAGTCTTCAGTGTCACGTGATCCTGATTTGCTGTTAAAAATAATAATAACAATTGTACAATAACTTTTTATTGTTCATTTATTGTTATTAATAATGTTCACATGTCCTTGCTGAGGTATTGATTACTATATTTAAAAAAAAAACCTTACTGGCCCCAACTGTTTGAATACAATACAATACAATAAAATAATATAATATAATATAATATAATATAATATAATATAATGGTGTGCTATGGAACAAAAATATCTGAATGATGCATATTGAAAAAAAGTTATTGTGTTTTCTGTACCTCATAGTTTATGGTTGGGTCTGGGGAATCATCACTACAATGGAGGAATCTGCCAAAGGAGGAATAAGATTATTACTTCAACCAACCAGCTTTTTAGAATTTCTTAAGAAGAAAAATCAAATCACACAGAGCTTGATGGGAATGGGGAATATATGCACCCGTGTGAGAGACTTACGGCTGAGTGAGGTCATGCGTGATGAAATCTGAACTTTTGAAGAGGAGGAAGATGTCACTTAGACTCTGACATTGCAAGGAACTGTTCAGGGCAATCCAGTTAGCGTCCTGAGAAGGAAGACAAAAAGATATAGAGGAATGTGAGTATTGTACGTTCATATGTATGATAAACAATTGGGAGTCAAATCTACTCACCCGAGGGGCACTCCAGTTCAGTTTTGGGAAGACACATCCGCCCAGAACATTTATTGCCTCCTGCACCTTTACATTGAACTCCGGAAATTCTGGGGCCTGTGGAAGATACACACAATTTAGTGCCTGCACAACTATATCAGATAGCTCAGCTTTGACTGGCTGAGAGGAATGAGACGCACCGTAACTGTTGTTGTAGTTTCATCGTCAGTCCACTGGAAAACAAAAGCACGAGATCAGGAAACTGGCTGAGTTATATAAGAGATATCTAAATGTGCTTATATTTCACTCAGCCACACACATACCTGAATGTCCTCCTCATCGGAGTCACTGTTATTCGCCTGTGTTTGCAAATTGTTGTTCTCGCTATAAAGAGAGACAATAATACATCACATAACGCGGCAAGAACAGAAACTGTTTCAATTGTTTGTTCAATCCCAAATCTCACCTGCCAGAAACCACAAGTGTCCCGTCATCTAATAAGTAATCGATTACATTTTGAGGTATAGGCAGTATCAAGCTGGAAAAGAGAAAATAACCAACACTAAATACAGCACATTAACAAAAAACAAAACAAAAAAACATTTGCATACAAACTCCAAGGTCCATCATTATTTAAGCTTTGTTACAGTACTACTTAATTTACACATACACACAAACACAGATACTGTACATTCATACATACAGAGAGAGAAAGATTACAGTAACGTTAACTTACATAAATGGAATAATTTTTTTGACATATATTCATACTCAAATACAATGGAATTTATACAAAAATAAAACATAGCAGTACTAATAAGCATATCCAAAATATCGCCCAAAATCATGGTAAATGTCCATAGCTGCATAATTACCATAATTTGCTATGGTACTTTTTACTACAACGCTCGATGTTTGGACTCTTTCTGAGTTTCCGCGTGAACCCCGATCATTATATTATTTACCCCACTGTGCAAATAACTCTCTTACCTCTTAATAGTGTGTTTCTTGAACAAAGAATACCAAACAGAAAACTGACAGTTTACAACCTGCTCCTTCTTCATGCTGCCTGAAACTACAGTGGTAATCTGCGCAACCTCAAAAACATTCCGGTATAACTATAGAATTAGTTACTACAGTCCGTTCCGATTTATAACTGTGCTTTGTTTTGTAGCAATTCTGTGTTTTTAATACTTTAAGGGAGTTATGTTCAATTATATTTTATTCTTTTTAAATTTAAGTGGCCAGGTTGAAAACATATTGTATACAACGAGAACATGATGCAATGTACAAGAGAGGGGGGACTGTTTTAGCTGCACACAAGTGGGCAGATGTTCTTTGAACGCGTGACTACATGAAAGAAAAACTAACTAAACAGCACCATCACTACTTTCTCGGGCTAGATCACTGTGATCTATTTGAAATTCTCTCGGATTTATCTGTAAGTACCTCGCTAATTCAAATCACTTAGACAGATATCTTGTTATATTTTTGCGTATTAACTAACGTTAGTTGAATTAGACTATGGTCATCATCATGACAACATCATGCGCCCTGTAACTTAATTTCTTTTGCACGTGCAGAATTCACACAATAGACACAAGATGAGCTCTCCAAAGAAAGCCACTACGGAACCCCATGTAATCAAAGAGGAGGTAAGTGTAACAGTAAAATAAACCTGTAACATTTTGCCATCATATAAATTAAACATCCACATGTTGTTACCAAGTGCTCTTTTAACACTAAAATATGTGCTCTTGTTAGCTGATAGCGAGTGGAAACTGGGTGAAGCTTGAGAAGACCACATATGTGGATCCCTCTGGAAGCACCAGGTATTGACCTGTGACTGTGTGTGAATAATGTGTGACCTCTGGACTGAGTGGACATGATGATGATGATGATGATGATACTGTCACTGGATATTTCTAGTTAGATAGCTAGCCTAGGTAGTTAATAATTGGAGTACTCTGGTTTAATTCAGACAGAAAGAGACATCAATGTACAGGCAGGCAGACAATTCACACACAGACATACATGTCATACATATCGATAAACAGACAGACAGATGTTATCTTTCTAGACATTTAACTTGAATATCTTTTGTGGATCCCTCAGAACATGGGAAACCGCAAAGAGAACAACCCGAGTAGCCAACAGTACAGCTGATGGTGTGTGTGCTTCCAGACACTCTCACACACATTCATTTGGATCTTTGTTCATGCTTTAATGCTCTATAAATATTGTAAGGTGTGGGAATCATAGCCCTTCTGAAGCGGACCCTACATAAAGACTGTGTCGTCATGGTGAAGCAGTTTCGTCCTCCCTTGGGATGCAACGTACTGGAGTTTCCTGCAGGTCTGATGATGCCAGTCTGCTTTAGGTTTGTACAGCCTATAATAGTTTATATCAAATAAAATAACCATTGATTATTCGCTCTGAATGAATATTGCAGGTCTGATTGATGACAATGAGAGTGCTGAAGCGGCTGCTTTGAGAGAACTGAAGGAGGAAACGGGTTACAAAGGGGAGGTCGTGGGCATCACCCCAGGTACAGCTGCTGTCATGTATGTGTATACTTCACAATATGCTTATAATAACTTGTGTATTTTAATATCTCTCATCCCATTTTCTGTCTTTTAGTCACATGTTTAGACCCAGGCTTGTCTAATTGCACCACACAGATCGTGATGGTACATATTAATGGAGATGACAGTGAAAATATAAACCCCACTCAGCAGCTGGGTGGGTGAAGATAATTCACATTACAATAATTATTGAAACAGACTGTGTTTGAAATGAATACAGAGCTATTCATTCTTTTCTTTTTTTCTCCATTGTGCATGTCTAGGTGATGGAGGTATGTATTTGTTTTCCAGTAAAAATAAGTCACTTGTGTGCAGTTTATTGATATTTTATTTAATTTTTTTTCTGAAAATGTATTTCGACTCTCAGAATTTGTGGAGGTTGTTCTTCTACCTTTGGATGAATTCCAGCTTAAAATCGATGGTGAGTGGATTTCTTGCTGATAAGAAATGCATCCTTTTAAACTTATAAGCTAAAAATTTTAAGCCAGTAAAGACATTTATGATGTTACAAAAGATTTAGATTTCAAATAAATGCTCTTGTTTTGAACTCTCTATTCATCAAAGAATCCTGGAAAAAATGAATCACGGTTTCCACAAAAATAGTAAGCAGTAAAAATGTTTTTTGACATTGAAAATAACAATAAATGTTTCTTGAGCAGTAAATCAGCATTAGAACGAAGGATCGTGTTACACTGAAGACTGGAGTAATGATGCTGAAAAATTGAGCTTTACCACCACAGGAAAAAAATTACGTTTTAAAATATCGAAATCAAAAAAACTGTTATTTAAAATGCAATAATTTTACTGTATTTTTAAATCAAATAAATTCAGCCGTAAGAAAAAAAAATCTTATTCCAAACTTTCAATATCCGGTGTAAATGACCTATTTATTCATTATTCATTTTGTATGATTTTCACTCAATTTGTTAGATTTTGCTTTGATGCACTAAACCTTACATTGTTCCTTTTTTTTATAGCGTTACTGCATAAAGAGAAAATCATTGTGGACTCCAAGGTGTATATCTATGCTATGGGAATGTCCCAGGCCTTCTTTAAACCCAGAGAGTTGCCTGTGCTGAAGCAGTGAGATTCTCCTCTGGAATTCACTATCAGGCCGACAGCAGTCAAAGCTTGTGTGCTGATCCTCAGTGATGAAATCAACGAGTATTTGACCCCAGGACCTTAGATTTTCACCACGGTTGCCTGATAAACATTCCTAATAAACTAACAGTACTTAATTATTAAGTGTTTGCACTGTTTTACAATTCAAGATTAAATAGATGATTAAATAGGATTTGTCCAAATTTAACTAAAAGTTCTAACAGCTAGAACTGTGAATTTGTAGGAAATGTACTTGGTATTGTAATCAAATCTTAGCATAAAACTGACATAAGTTTTTTTCATATACGTTCAGTAGCTGATGTTATATATTGTGTATTCAATTGTCTAAAAGGCCTGCATTGATTGTAAATTGTTCTAAAACGTTACAGTTTTTTCTGGAAGATGCATATGCAAACCTGTGTACACAAATAACTATTAATTTTTATCTAATAAATTTGACGGTTTAGATTTTGCATTTGTGTGTGGTTTTATGTCTCTTATTTATTTGTTATTCTTTCCTATCATTCTTCCTTGCAGATTTACTAAGAGTGTTATTCAAATTAATTTATCAAACCTTACATGTTTTGGTAACACTTTACAATAAGGTTCATTAGTTAATATATTAACTAACACAAACAATTATCAATGCATGTGTTGCAGTATTTATTAATCTTTGTTAATGTAGGTTAATTCAAATACAGCTGATCATTGTTCATGTTAGCTCTCGATGCATTAACTTGATTTTAATAATGTATTAGTAAATGTTGACATTAATATTAATAAATACTGTAGCAGTATTGTTCATTCTTAGTAAATGTTAACTAAGGTAGTTAACTAATGGACCTTATTGTAAAGTGTTACCAATTTATATATATATATATATATATATATATATATATATATATATATATATATATATATAATTTATTGTTCAATAACACATGGTACATGTACAACTTGACATTGAATGTTTCTATGTTTATATATATATATATATATATATATATATATATATATATATATATATATATCACATGACTGTAATGAATTTTAATAATTTGATTTTACATTTGCGTGCTTAACCAAGAAATTTAAATATCTCCACGTGGCGCTACAGAAAACATTTAGGTTTATTGGAATTTTGCGGTTTTTACAAAAACGTAGGGTTATTGTGACGCTTTTGTAAAATTGTGATAACAATTTAATTCTTTTTATTATGTTATGGACAGGCACGAAGTTCTCTGGAAACTGACGTAGTTCCGGGGTCCTGAATATTAAACATCTTTCGCGCCAACATTGAAACAACAACAGCTCCTGCTTCTGATCCTCTGAGTTGTTAAATAACTTTCATTTAAACATAAACCCAAGAAGAGCGATCAAAATCAAAATGACAGGTATGTCCGACAGAATATTAGTACAACTGTTTGGCCAGTTTAATACTTGGTTGAATAAACCATACTTAAATTAGATGAGAAATGTTCCTGCATTTCCCGGTTCCCTGAAATCTCATCATGGGCTGATTTTTACTAAACACTATGTGATGTTTATGATATAATTAGTGTTATAATATAATATATATATATACCTTTGAATGGTCTTGTTGTTGTTTTGTAATTCTGTTTTGGACATAGTATATTACTGTACTTTATTCGATCATATATTTTTATTGTAACCCTAGTGCATGGGTCAAATAGTATTTTGAGAGTATTACACATTGACAGTCATATTATATTAGTTTAAATCTGTTTTATCTAATCAATGTGTAATAACCTGTCCTATATAGTAAGTATATTTTATATATGATCCTTAATTCAAAATTCAATTCAAAAACCTTTATTTTCTATCAACCAGTGATAGAAATTTGTCTTTGGTTAAAAAGGCACACATATACACAATACAATCACACACACACATCACAATTTAAAATTGTTACTAGGAAAAAGAAAAAAAAAGTAGGCATTCCTTACACTATTCAAAACAATAAAGGCTCAACCCCAATATACTAATTAAACTTTTTAGTCTTATTTAAAATAGAAATAGCAGTAGGAATAAAATAGTTTCTGTACGCTTTCCTATATTATAAAATGTTATATGAAATGTTGTATTAACTGAATGTACTTGTATTTATATAATATGTAATGTTACGTTCTTTTTTGAAATTTTATAACTGTTAGATTTAATGAATGAGCAATGTAATGTACAATGTGTCTGACATCAGAGGAGGAGAATCTGGACATGCTGCTGTCTTTATTTGCGGAGACTGAGAGCCAGAATCTGGAGACTCATGCTGCTGGAGAAGACACTGACAATCTGGACGACCTCTTCGATGAGGATGATGACGGTCATCAATATATTGAGCCAGAGGAGGAGGCGCAAGGGGATGACGACGTGGCACCTGGGAAATCCAGCTCGGTTGAAGGGGGTAGTGACTTGAACAAGTCAAAGGAAGATCTTGAGGGTAATGCTCTAGTTATTTTAGGCATGTTTGGATACACACAGGTTATACATGAACTGTTGTGTGATGATCACGAGTCACGACTGTATTTGTCTTCCAGCTGAACTGATTTTAATGCAGCAGAAGATGCGAAAGCTACAGCAGCAGCTGGAGGCATCACAGAAAACCACACAGCCTGAAAGCAAACCCTCAGTCCAGAAACAGGCAAGAACCAATCCCTTAACACCACCTCAGGGGGGTTTGAATGCTACCCCACCAACACGACGCGACAGCAGAGCCTCTCCTCCATCAGATGTCGAAGCAAAACAGAAAAACAAGCAGAGGTCGGCTCATCCACCCAAAGCAGGTGCAAGTCCCAGTGTTTCTTGGTTCTTTTTGCTTCGAAAAAGGATTATGGAAATACTTGAAATATATGAATTATCCGATATGCTTTAAATATTTTTGTTTGTTTGTAAATTAGCATCATCAGAAAGGCAGACTCCTATTGGCCAGAGAATGAATAACTGCCAATCTCAGCCAATGAGAGACAGTACGTTAAAGTCATCGCCCCCTCTCAAGACTCCTCCCACTGTTCGTCAGGCCACACCACGTCCATCGGTCAATCAAGAGGTTGCCGTGGAGAAATTCTCAGGTCTCAGACTCAGGTCCGTGTACAATAACTTTGGCTTGTTTAAATAATTAAAGTGGTACTATTATGTTTTTGTTTGGTTTTTTTACATTTTCAACTTTCTTTAGTGTGTGATGTTGCTGTTTGAGCATGAAAATGTCTGGAAAGTTACAAAATCCCTCCTAAGGTAGTTCTTCTCTATATCAGAGTACAGAGTTTCTAGACTCCCTGAAATGCCTCCGTTGTAGTCTTGAGTTTTATTCTGGGAATGGACAAATCACTATGTTCCTTATTTAAATAATTCCCCCATTATGCATGTGCAAAAAAACTGATGAGGCCTGGGTGAGTTGTATTAGTATTGTGTTAAGTCTTGTTCCGAAATCTCGCACTTAAAGTGATTAACCAATCACATCACACTGGTCCAGATGACCAATCAGAGCACAATGTGCTTTACTGAAGGAGGAGTTTCATAGAGACAGGAACTAAAGTGTTACTGACAGACTAGAAAGAGAGGTGCTGCAATAATGTAAACTATGTGTAAAATAATGTTTTTTGAACTTTCAAGCATGAAAACCTATTCAAGTAGACCCTTAAAAAATTAAGACTTTAAAAAAGGGATTAATTTGATCTCTTTAATGTTGCTTTAATTAAAGATGGAAAATTAAGTTCATTCAATGAGGATAAAATCCGTAATTAACCTGATATCATATGAACTTGACCTTAATTTGACATAAATATGCATTTCAGGTTTTCTCTTTCTTACTTTTAAAAGCACAATGCTTTTTTTTCTCTGTAGGAAACCACGTTTGTCTTCTATAGACATTGAGCAAAAAATGTCTACCCGCAGACTGATCAAGCTCTCTCAGTTGCCCGATCGACTGGCCAGGGACAATTTAGAGGACAGTGATTGGGTCACTTTCGCAGTGGTGATAAATAAGATTACCCCACAGAGCAAAAACAATGTAAGAGCCCAGTGTTTCTGAGATTTGAACTCTTGTAAATGGATTACATCTTGTATGTTTGATTACACCCTTGTATATTTTGTAGGGGAAAACCTTCAGCATATGGAAGCTGAATGACCTTCATAATTTGGAAGTGATTGTGTCTCTCTTCCTGTTTGGGTCTGTTCACACGGATCTATGGAAGACTGACACTGGGACAGTGATTGGCATCCTCAATCCAAACCCAATGAAGAACAAAGAGGGTTCCAATGAGGTTTGTGAACATAAAGCCCCAATATCATATATTTAAAAAGAAATACAAAATGGACTGATCAAAATGATCTTTAAAGGGGCTGTATGTACGATTTTTAATGTTTAATTCCGCTTTCTTTTCTTTTTTTGCTAATGTGTGAAAATGAGACCTTCCCCGACTTCCTAGGTTGTTCATGAAAGCCTGTAGACTAATTTTATGTGAAGGATTCGGGATGTTTTAGCCGGGAAAATCAAAAGAATGTGATGTTCACGCAGTTGTGCGCTTCTGAGAGCCTCTCTTCAGTTCTATGACACATGAAATGAATGCTTTTCCAATGTTCAGGATAATGCTGAAAGAGCCATTCTATACTGTAATGTGAATGCCATGCAAAGAAAATGGATTAATTCAAACTATAGTCTCAGATCTATGCATTCTATTGTCTCAAATATACATTATTATCAAATTATCATAACAGTGTGATTTTAATGACCTCATCTGTCGACATGATGCCAGTGAATTGCAGAGATGGTGCAAATATATCCACATTGTTAATTTTCGTTAACAGTATATCGCAGCAAAGACTTTTCCAACTACTTTTTACTTCTAAATGAAGAACAAAAAAAACTTTGCCGTATGTATATCAGGGCATTGAATTTTTGTACATGTTCACCAGTGAGAGCACACGCAATAAGTTGCTGGCTGCAGTTCACTTAACAGCCACCGGTGTCGCTAATAACAAGGGTTTCTGTATTCTACACATAGCCCCTTTAACAATTGGAAAATATTAACCAATAATAACGTCACGTGTTTCCATTCAATCAAATCCTGATGCATAAAATCAAGTAAAATCAAGAATTTAATGTTATTTTTTTAATCAAAGTTTATGTACTATACTAATGCATTACCTAAATACTAAAATAGCACTTATGTATATTACCCCAATTCATTTCCAAAATATGTCCGATTCTGGAAGTAAAACAGATTGCGAACAATGTTAATTTAAATGAGTCATGTGGTACGTGTCGCTCTCTCCAGCTCAGCCTGACCGTGGACCACCCACAGAAGATCCTTATAATAGGAGAAGCCATGGATTTCGGCACCTGCAAGGCCAAAAAAAAGAACGGGGACCCTTGTACTCAGCTAGTCAACTTGGTAAGTCTCCATGTTCAAACATCTTCCTTTCCCGAAATATTTCACGATCAGCCAATTCATTACTCCTGTTTGCTTTAACAGTATGAATGCCAGTACTGCCAGTACCATGTGAAAGCCCAGTACAAGAAAATGAGCTCAAAGAGGTCTGAGCTTCAGTCCAGCTTCACAAGCCCCGCCCCTGGTAAAGGAAAGGGGCGGGGCAGTTTGAAGGAGCGCCTGTGCCAGTCTAACTTCCACTACGGGGGCATGTCGTCACTCGCCTGTGCGCCCTCGACGTGAGTTCACTGCCTCTTTTTATGACCTTTCTAAATCCACACAAACCCTAAACTTATCGCATGAATCTTTAATTTTGACAGGTCTGCCCCACAGCCAAAGAAACAACCCACTATGCAGTCTATTTTAGCATCCATCCCAACTAAGAAACTTGGTAAACTTTCTGTTTAGTACACCTTTTCTTTCCCTCTCCAAATGGCTGCCATTTTTTGTGCTTGTTCATGTTTTCTAATCAAGTTTGTTCCTGTAGCTCTAAAATCGGGCGAGGTGTTGGGCTGTTCCGATGATTTCAAAGGCCTGATGTCTATGCCGACGCCTGGAGCACTAAATATAAAGAGGCATTTAGGACAAGCCAAAAGTACAGGTAATTTAAAGGGATAGTTCATGCAAAATTAAACTTCTATGAGCATTTACTCACTCTCATGTCATTCTTGATCTGTAACGTGTGAAGAACAGACTAAAACAACTTTCAAATCTCATTTGCGCTCATTCATTTTTAAACCATGCACCTTGAGGGCCACCATGCCAGATTTGACCTCAAACTCTGTTGGTTTTCATGCGTTTTAAGCAATTTGAGAGCTACTAGTTGCACTGTTAATGATACTTGTGAATGTTTTCTGATGCTGCAGTACTGTTTTGGGCCAGCAGATGTCTGTCCACAATTGGGATGTAATGAAACAAACCAAAAGCCAGCACATTTGTCACTGGGATAGCTTGCAAATGTAATTTCTTACTAGCCTTATTTTTTATTTGCCTTTGTTTTAGCTGTGACAGGATCTTCAGTTCAGTCTATATCTGCATCTGACCTTATCAAACAGCAGAAAGAACAACTCCAGCAGAGAATGCTTGCTCGAAAGAAGAGGGCAGAAGAGATTCAAAAGAGGTGAGAGGTGTTTTTTTAATAATGTTAATTGGTTCCTTTAACTACTCATTGTATTTTTTGCATTGCATTTAAAAGCTGATATATTTAGTGTTTGCATATTGAGTTTCTGGATTGGTTGTGCCCTTTCAGTAGATGTGCTATAAATATTTATTTCCGTCTACCCAGGGTGCTGGGTCAGAACAGTGGGGTTCCTGTTGCCCCTTCACGGCCCAGTGTAAGCAGGGGTCCCCTGCTCTCCCCAAAAGCAGCCTCGGAGGTCCCGAAAGGGTCCTCTGCCCCTGCGTCCCGTCTCTCAGGTCCTGCTGTTCCATCGCTAGGCCGTGGTTTTTCAGAAGGAGAGGACATCCTCCTTGACATGTCTCCACCTTCATCAAAGAGCCTCTCAGCCACAAAGGTACTGGCCTGGGAAATACCCCATCATTTGTTAAATGATTTTTTTAATTCTAGAATGTTGTGTTGCTGTGTATCTTTTATTAAAGTTCAGTTAAATGCAAAACCCTGAAGAGAAACATTTTCAGCTGAATTTGATATAAATAAATAAATTAAATTAAAATGATTCTAAAGAATGTGAGATTTATGTTTATTGATTAACATTTTTAATAGCAATGAGAAATAATTATTATAATAATTAAAATTAAGTTAAACTAAATAAAATAAATTATCAGTTTTATCTTACTTCAAACTGAAAATATATTTGTAAAAAATCAAGTACAATGAAAAATCGGGTACATATAGCAATATAGTGGCACATATAAAATAATGCAATCATTAAACATTAAACTTATGAATCAAAACTGCCTAACACTACCAACTGAAATGTCTAACCCAAGAGAATGTTAATTCGGGAAAAGTGTTCATTTCAGGTTATCCAATTATTAATACATATTTAAAAATGGAACATTTAAATGTCATTTAAAAAACATTTATATTTCTTATTGTTATTTATTGATTAAAAAAATAATAATCATCACATTAATCTTGTGATTTCCATCCTCAAAGCAGTAATTCTGTAACATTTGAGTTCTCCCAAATTTTCCACAGACCGCCAGCATCCCCCTTGCAGCCCTCGATCAAAACCCTTGATGATTTTACAACTGCTTGAGTTTATAATAGCTTTTTTTTAATTCTTTTTGTTTATTAGTTGGCCGCAGTGAGGAAACTCCAAGCTAAAGGTTCAGTCATTGTTAAAGACGACCCAAATGCTGTAAAGCGCAAGCGAGCCAACAGCGATGACATCACAGATCGTGTAAAGCGTAATCTCTCCACACCTACAGGTACATTCATCAGGTTTATGATTGACTGTTTGCCTGTTTGTTTCTCTCTAAAACACTTATTCTTCTACAAATCTATCTGCAGGAACTGATGAAAATTCAATCGGTGAGGAGGAGGAGCCAGCTCAGAAAAAGAGGCGGGAACAGCTGGAATACATCCAATCAGAGGAGTTTCAGCGTATCCTCAACGCCAAGTCTTCAAACTCGTGGATGATGGGAGAGGTGTGTATCTTGGCTGTGTGTGTGTTTTGATAAGAATGTCAATGTTTGGATATGTGTTATGTCACAGTAGGGGGGCGGAGCTTAGGGTTGATATGAAGCGTTCAGTGTTTATTTGCTTTGGACGCAATTACCCATCACATATGTCATATGAAATGATGGTTCAATCTTCTTACAAGTGTGACTAAATGTTATCCGTCTAGATTGAGGAGCAGGCCATGCAGGAGTATTTTGAGCCGCTGGTGCAAAAAGAGAAAATGGAGGAGAAGATGAAGGGTATCAGGGAGATGAAGTGTCGGGCCGTCACCTGCAAAACTGTAAGTCAACAAATTTGCAACTAAAGAGACTCTGCATCTCTCCTAAATGCTGAGTAAGCCATACATTACAAAACTAAAAACAAATAGGTACAAAAAAGCTCTGTGTGCATTTTAAATTAAAGTGGTGAACTTCCCTGTGGAATAATAATAACAACACATTTATTGCCGTCTCATTCAGAGCGATGTCTCCTGCATCATTAGTAGCAAATTAGTATTTATTCACAGCAAGTCTTAATGACGAACCAATCTTGAACATAATTTGTGACACAATCCCTGTCGTTCTAGAGGAACAAAAAGCAAACAAACCTCTTTAAGATGCTAATTAGACCATTACGTGGTTTCGGTCTGATTACACCTGTAAATCACGGACCGTTTATGCGGTTTAGTTCATAAGCCCCTCTCGCCCGCAGTGTAAATACACCCACTTTAAACCAGCGGACCGCTGTGTGGACGAGAAACATGACTACCACTGGCACGACGCCGTCAAGCGCTTCTTCAAATGCCCCTGTGGGCAGAGGAAGATCTGCCTGGCACGGATGCCACACGGAGCCTGCAGGTGGGGGACGGACTTTCACGAGTCACGGGTCACTGACATTTTAATACTTAACTGTCAGTTGTTGTAATAACTTCAATTTCACTTTTCTATTTTAGCCATTGTGGCCTCTTCAAGTGGATGAGAGATGGCATGTTAAAGGTACAGTTTCAATTATTTATTATTATTATACAACATTATTTAAATTCCTTTAATGGCTTGAAACAAGTTACAACTAAATAGATTATTTAATGTGCACAGTATTTATAAATAATTCAAATTGGGTTGTATTTTTCAGTGGTACTTCAGGAATTCAATTATATAAGCGTGTAACTCACTCTGTTTTTCACTTCCACAGGAGAAAAAGGGACCCAAAATCGGAGGGGAGCTACTGTTGCCACGTGGAGAGGAACAGGCCAAATTCCTCAACAGTTTAAAGTAGAGTCAGCTGTCCCGTGCGCGGCCTGAGCCCAGTCTACATCCAGACTCATCTGAGAAGTCTAAACACACGGATCATGTCTTCATACTCGGAGAGTGTGACTGAAGTGTTGATCGGCGTTACATTTAAGTTGGTCTATGTTAAATGTGATTTTAGTGATTTTACTAGTGTTTGTCTGTTGTCTATATATTTGTTGTTTTTAGCCTTTTAAATGTAAATATATACTGTTATTATTTTAATTCTCAACTTTAATATCAACTCTCAAGTGGCACACCTGAATTAAACGATACTAAGTGAACTTGTGAACGTTCTCATATTGATTTGAGTGCGGCACACATGCTAAATCTTGTTGGTGGTACAGCATGCAGTGATATTTTAAAGCTTTATTACCCCTCTGTGCTCTTCCTTAAGCAGAAGGAGTGGCAGGAGGCCGTTCTCCTGTCAGATCTGGGTAACGACACTCAGGAAGGTCAATAAATCTTTCTTTCTACTTTTTACTTTCTCCCTATTTTTCCCCATCTGTCTAAGCTCTCAGCATAGGAATGTCACTCCGTTGCCAGCAAATACTGCCTTGGAATTATTATTCCATCTGTAGATACACAAATCTGAGCTCATGTATAAATATATTACATTACCATATTTATGACAATACAAGATGTTGCAATAAAGGCACACGTTTTTTTTTTTACATTTGACTTTTATTGGCTTTTACTGTCCTTATTGTTCTGGTTTTTGCATTTTATATTAGATCTTCACTAATGTGGAAAATGAGAAGAAACCAGAAGGTCATTATGATGGCTGAATGAAATTACTGAAGGAGTTAAGCAGTTTGTCTTAGGGGAAGCTTAAAATCACAAACTAATCATGAATGTTTTGATGAGTCCAATTTTTGATTCAGGATAAGTGATTATAACACACTAAAAACACCTTTCATACACAAACCCTTTTATTATACATGTATTATATGGAGCCCCTAGTGAGAATATGGTATAATAATATTGCTTTATAATGTTATGTGATAAAAAAATAAGTTTTCTGTTCCACCGTGAAGATTTGTGAGAGAACGCAAAAGCATTAAACAAAAAAACTTTCTCATCTCAGTTTTGACTCTATTGGGGTGTTGGAAAAAATATATTTTAAAGCTTTTGCGTTTGTGCTTTCCCCCAAAAAATTCACTCATAAAATGCTTTCTGAAAAACTTTCGGTTCCTCGCATTCAGTGCTACACAGTTTTGTGAGGAAATGCAAAGTTTTGCAAGCAAACACAAAAGCATTGGCATATCATTTCCCCCCCCCCCATTTCATATTGTTTTCTTCCTAGGGGCTCCGTAGTATTAAGAGCTTTAAATCTAAAAGTGCTTATATGTTTTGAATAATAGTTGTATAAGGTCATGAAAGTGTCCCTCCACTGAAGATGCACTCTCTGGGCCTTGCATGTGCTCAGACGTACGGGCGATGGTGAGGGTATCGTGGGTATTGCCCATCATAGTGGAATTCTCTCCACTGTTCGTTCTTCTCTCTGGTCCTCTCATTCTGTTCTGTTGATACAAAGACACAGCAGCTAGAACTGGACTCGAACATACGGAAGCGTGTTGCATTCACTTAAAGAAAAAAAATCTACTCTGTTTCTCTGAATTAACGAGTTAATTATCTCAGAATTGCGAGAATTTTTCATGGGAAAATTTTTTCTTGAAAAAAAGGTTTTGCTTTGTTTTTCTGAATTAACGTGTTAGTAATCTCAGAATTATGAGGTATCTTTCTTGAAAAAAAGGTTTTTCTTTGTTTTTCTGAATTAACGTGTTAATTATCTCAGAATTATGAGATATATTTTTCTTGAAAAAAAATTTCACTCTGTTTTTATGAATTAATAAGTTACTACTAATTTTTAATCAAGTGATAATCAAGTCATTAATTCAGAAAAACAGAGCAAAAACTTTTTTCTCTTGCAATTCTGAAATACAGATCTACTCTTTCTTTTTTGTTTGTTTGTTTGTTTTTTTCAGAAAAACAGAGTAGGTTTTTTTTTTCAAGTGAATACAATACGCTTCCATACCGAACGAGACATTCTATATCTTCAATATTAAAAGTTAACAAGTCCAAAATAAATATAGTCTGGGAGATTCCTCCAATATACTGTGGTGTTTAGCCATGATTATCATAAAAAAAGAAATTAAAATTCAAAATATGCAGGTAACACGTATTGACGTAGTTACTTTACATGTACTTACCATAGTAATAACTGTAAACTATGTCTAAATACAAGTAACCAACCCTAATGTAAGTACATAATTAATATTAATTAGTACTTAGAGTTGTCACAATGTAACTGCCACCTTAAAATAAAGTGTAACCAATATTCATTATGTAGAAACAATAACTGTAGTAGCCTTGGTATTCTAATAAATCTCTAATCTCTTCTTAGAACATAAACATTTTCAATTTAAATGTCATCATCTGTGCCAAATTTGCTGGTTACTTCCAAATCAGTGCAGGGATCTAATGTCACCAATCAAGTGTTCTGGATGATTGTGAGAGGCTCAGAGTCACTGCTGTCATCAGCCTCTTATTAGTCTTTATCCCGTGAAGATTTGCACTGCATGATTCCCTTTTCTGGAAGCCAAGATAATCAAACAGGGAGATGAGTCTCACCATCACGGTCCTCCTCTAAATAGTTCTCGTATTCGTTGCTTTGTTCCTCATAGTGCTCCCTCCTCCGCTCATTTGCAGCCAGCTTCACCCTTTGCTCCGCTAAAAGTGAGTGAAAAGACATATTTCAGCATAGAAATCACATATATATGTATTGTTCTTGGATTCAAAATTCAGTACTGTAGCTTATTTGAAAACAGAATGTGCATTATTTTAAACATGCATTAATTGACTAAGCTAGTGTTCAGAAATTACATGCCAATGCTTGTAATCTCAAAATGTCCAAATATAGGTTGATGCATCACTAGGGAACGTGTAAATATGCTTCTGGATTTCCATAAAACAACCTCAACCCATTTTTTTTTACTAGTCTGTACTTGCAACGTTTTGGATACATGAGCAGTTAAGCATCCACTATCCTTGCAATCCTGCAACAACAAAAAATCTTAGTCTCATCTCTGGATGTCTCAGACTGTACAGGTTTAAGGGTAACACACATTCCCATTAACCTGCTGACAGCAGTTTGCAGATATTAACCAAATTGGGTGCCAAAAATAATCTCGGTTTCGCTCTCTTTCTCCATAGTGAGGGTGGTTAGTTTAGCTCATGTCTGCACATTCCTCTCTCTCGAGCCCCAACTGCTTTACCTCCTCCAACCTGCAGTGTCTGCTCCTGCACCATCACACACACACTGCTGACAACTTCAAATACACTTCAGTAAAACTTTTCCATGCCTTCATTGCTGCAGTCGTTGGCTGGCAGGTTAAGGGACGTCCTAATGGCGTTTGGGCGAGTGTCAGTATGTGTGTGTGGGAGGGAGAGAGAGTGAGAGAACTGCTCCATATTGTCCGGTTGGTCCTTCTAGCCCAGTGCTTTTGACTCAAGGCTGCATTGTTCAAGATATATCTTGAAATTGAATTAGTAGTGACTCCAGAAGTTTGAAGAACTGTTCTTCAGTAAAAGCAATAGCACTTACCATAATACTCTTCATAAGTTCTTGGGGATCTGCGACCGCGGCGTTTGAAGAAGTTTGAGGCATCTGATGCTGGCATGAAAACTCGTTTAGATGGCCCTGCAAAAGCAATGAAGTTAGAAGAGAGGGAGAGTGTGTGTGTGTGTGTGTGCGCGCAGTAGGTGAATCCCACTGGTGAATCCTAGACTGTGGGGACCAATTTTTTTATGTAAAAATGGAGAAAGTTTTCTGTGAGGGTTGTGTTTAGGGGATAGAATATACTGTTTATACAAAAAATCATTGTCTATAGAAAGTCCCCATAAAAGTGTGTGTGTGTGTGTGTGTGTTGAACTCACCTTGAGCTTCAGTGTTTTTTCCATCTTTAACAGCTGCACTTTCAACCCCAGCCAGCACTAAAGAAAGAGAGTGTTTTCATTTATTTATTTATTTTTTTCTGATCAGCAACTCTTCCTGCTATATATATATATATATATATATATATATATATATATAGCAAAGCACCATACTGTATCTAAAATCTTCACTGTAACATAGTACCACTTTTTGTAACATATGATTGTGAAGAAACATTTCAAAGCAGATTATCTGTTTAATTTAAATTAAATTACATTAATAAGACTTTTTTATCCATCTAAACAAGGACTTGTTTAAATGTATTTATAAATACACTAAGCCTATACCCTAAAACAAAACATTTTACATGTGTAAAACTGAGTGGGGTTACTCACCGATTAAAATGAGGACGCTGGGCAGCAGTGTGAGCAGGACAGAATGATTCCAGGCCATCCTTAAGAAGATGAGGATCAGAACCACAGCAGACAGTCCTGAGACCTGAGAGAGAGCATGTGTGTGTGAGAGAAAGAGAAAAGAGGGAACGTTAGGCAAGGATAGAGGGGGAGCTGGAATTTCACTCGCCCAGAGGAACGCAGGAGGGGCGAGAGAAGGAGACACGGACCCCAACACACACACACACACACACACACACTGATCAGACCCTCTGTGTGCATGAGGGTCAATATCATCATTCACTATTTCTGTCCAAACTTCAAGATCTGGCAGATTTACAGTTTAGCATCAGGTTTCTATTACACTGAAACAAATGAACAACAGATCAAGTGTGTGTGTGATGGATTTCTCCAGCAGCTCCTCATCAGGATTAAACGATTAATTAAATATCAGCACTATCATCTGTCATCATAAATAATACTCTCTATCTATCTATCTGTCCGTCCGTCCGTCCGTCTGTCTGTCCATCTATCTATCTGTCTCTATCTGTCTGTCTGTCTGTCTGTCTCTCTGTCTGTCTGTCGTTCATTCGTTCCATCTATCGTTTGTTCCAACTGTTGTTGGTTTGTTATTTCCTCTTATCTTCCCCTTATTCCATCTATCCATCATTCTATCCATCGGCTATCTATCTATTGGTCGTTCATTCCTTCCATCTTTTGTTCGGTCTATCTTTTTTCCATCCATCCTTTCGTTCATCCTTCTGTTCTGTCGTTTGTTCTATCTGCCTGTTTGTCCGTCTACTAAACTGTTAGCTGAGCAGAGCTTTTCATATCCATTCATCCATCTATCGTTCTATCTTGGATCATTTGTTCTGTCCGTCCATTCATCCATCCGTCCATCCAATCTCTCTAGTCTAAACTGTGAGCTGTGCAGCTCTTTTCATATCCACCCATCCACATCATTTCAGCAGTCCTCTATGTATAAATCATTTTTGAGTAGAAATATGTTCCCAAACTTCCCAATACTTATGCTGTAGATGTAATAATAACTAGGACCTTGTTTTATGTGTGACTGTATGCCACACGTGGCATTCTTTACCAAGAGTGTCAGAAATTACTGTCTTGCTACAAAGCCGGTGGGAGTTTTGTGTGAGACGCATCTTGTCTCAAGTATTCTTCACTACTAAATGTCTGAATGTCATATGGTGAATATAATATTTACACGACACATCTGCATACCTAAAGAACATACTTCAACAATATTGAGAGGCTCTCCTTACATCTTATAGCTAGAGCCAGGCATGGATCTTGACATTATTTTACACAAGACTATCAGTTAGTCTCCATCAAGTCTGTATCTAAAAGAGAAACTGACAGAAAGAGAGAGAATAATAGTAACAAAAAGACAGTAAATGAGAAACAGACATGCAGTGTGTTTAAAGGAAAAGATTAGAGTGAAGTTAAAAGTATTGTTCCGTCTCTCAACGCTATAGCAAAATATATCAATGTCGATTAAGAAAACCTGCATAATGTTTCAATGATGTGCCCTTTCCGGGTTGGTTTGGCTATAGTGTGTGCATGTGCATTTATGAGGCATTTTTCCATGCTGTGTAAATGGATTCCTGGATGTCTGGATACCATCCAGGTATTTTCTTTGGTTCCAGGTCTCCACAAGGCAGACACCCCAGGCAACATTAGAGACCCATTCTCTATTACCCATAATACACACAGATGTGAAATACTATTCCAGGCATTTTTCCACAAAATTGACTAAGCATGTTTTAAATAAGGAATTGCTTACCTAAATACTATTTACTATCCCTCATGTCGTTCCAAATCCATACTGTCTTCTGTGGACCACTAAAGAGTGTATAGTGCACTCAAATCTCATTTATTCAAATGTGGTTTGTTTTGGGCCACTTGATCATATGGACCAATTTTATCATGTTTATTTTGGAGCATGACAGCCCATTTCTTTTTAATTTATGGAAAACAGCAGCCTGAAGATTCTGCCAAACGTCATTAAAAAGAAAGTAAGACAGAATTTCCATTTTTGGGTGAACTATCCCTTTGAGCTCAATCTAGTAAAGCTAAGTTGATCTTAGAGACCAATGATTAAAATGTGAACACGAACTCGCTGCTCCATCCTTACGGTTGGTTTCTGTGTGAAGCTGTCAATAGGGTGTGGTTTGAACTGGTTTGTCCCATGGACCTCTTTAAATAGCCACTTTCATTGAGTGCACCTAAGCAATTTAATTTCAATGGAGACTGCAGTCTGGGCACGTATGGTATTTATTATATGTGTGTATGCACACAGAGAGAAACAAACAAGCATTCATGGGTGCTCTTTAAAATGCCCACATATTCTGCTTTTAATCAGCATGATCAAAGATTTGGACTGCAGTTAGCTGGTTAATATATAAATAGATTGTGTGTTTTGCTCACATGTGCTAAATGGAGGTTGGAAAACCACTAGTGCCTGATATCAAGTCAAAGGTGGCTGCTATTGCTCTGCGTGCGCACAAAACGAGGAAACTGAAAACGTTCATCTGCTCACGCATTACCATTTATCTATAGGCCTAGCTTCCACTCTGCATGCATGTTGCAGAGAAACTTCTCGAATGGTGCTTCTTTTAGCACATAAAAAAAATGAATACACAGTAAAGTTCAGTACCTTATTAAATGCATTTATTGTAGTTAAACATTGGCATTCACACATTCAAGTATATTTTAATTCAATTAAGCAAAAATATAGGGTAGAAACTTTTTTACATTTTCCCTGTTTGATTATAAACTGCTATTATCAAGGAAATGTTTGTATTACTGTAGGTCAGTATGTTTAGACCTGATCTAATGTTGATAAAAACATATTAATCCCTTTAATATTTCAGAATTAATAGTAAAATTATCTTCTTTGCCTCTGATTCTTTTAAAACCATCATTTATATCAGCAAAAAGCTGTATCTGTTTCAAATGAAGGCAGATTAAGTGCTGTACTCGATTACTCCTTCCCAAGTATCTGCTGTGAACTAGAATTTTCATCAAATTACTTCTAATACTAATTACTTCAACAACCTCACTAATAATTACTTGCAGGAAACACTCTCACAAACACCTGAAGTATTTATCCGAGACAATGAATTCCCAATGTTCTTGCATCTCTTGAAGAAAAGCCACACCAAGATCCGTTGATGCTAAAGTTACAATGTCTGGCTTTCATTATTATTAGATCGGTATCAGGACTGATCGTCCCAGGCACAGATGGCAATTCAGTGTGTGTGATCCACGATTTAATCCCTACACTGCCACCTGATGGTGAAAGCTGTACTTTCCATAATTATCAATGTAACCATAATGATCAATTTTAAGGAAATTGTCAAATTAACAAACAGCTGTGTGCCGTTAATTAATCCAGTTGTGAAGCTGTCCTCTCTAAGCCAGACAGATGAGTCACGAGTCACATCGATGTTCTTTCTCCTTGGACCAGACGTCCCCGCAAAGCCCAAGTGTCCTGCATATAGAGCAAACGCGTGCATGGTGAAGATAAGCCACGTGCATGAAAGAAACTTTGCGTATGAAGCTGGAAACACACCTGAAAGGAGATTGTATTGTCAATCCCATACTTCTTGGCTGTAATTTCCTTCACTTCATTGCTGATGTTCTCCTGAGTCGTTCCTTTCACATCTATGTAATAGCAGTCAGAGCTGGCATAGTGACAGGAGATGGCCTGAAATAAACAAACACAGGGTAGTCCTGGATTTAGTGACTTACTACGTTGGATGTTTAGTGACTTACAATCTCTGCTGAGGCAAAGTCACGTGAATTTTCGTTTTTTTTTTTTTTATGCAATACCCAAAATTTGTATTGTTAGGTAATGGTTAATACTACAAATGCAATGTGACCTAATGCATCCCTGACCACATCTGAATGTGTTTTGAGGTTGAGAAAATGCCATTGGTCCTGATTTTACTAGCAGGGAGGGAAATGTCTTAAATACTAGAGTAAAAGCTCCATTTTTATGCATCCAGGTATCTCTTACCTTTCGAAATCCCTTGGTTTGGTTCATTCCTGAGCCATGGATCAGCAAAGGATGGAAAAACACTGTATCTCCTTTCTCCATCTCTAAATGGACTCTGGGATGGTCTGGGTCGTAGTTACGCACCCCGTGGTACATCTTATTTATTCCACCCTGGAAGGAAACAGAGAAGCAAAATGAGGCTGACTGATGTAGACCATCTGTGTAATCATCCTCATTCCTGTGTCTCTCTCACCTCCCATTCTGGGTAGTCGTGTTCCTGCAGAGTGCCATGGTGTGAGCCGGGCAGGACGACCAGACAGCCGTTTTGCCGGTGCACTTTCTCCATGGCGGTCCATGCACACACAATGCGATCGGCAGGTCGGAAGGGGAAGTAGTGTAGATCCTGGTGCATGGGATGGCGAGAGGTCTTCTTACCTAGGAAGTTTGAAACAATTGCACATTTAGGTATTTGGATGCAAACCTCTGCATCACGCATTTCATGTTTGGGATGTATCTTCCATACCATGATGAGTGTATAACACTTAAAAATGCACAGTTAATCAAGATAACTTAGGAATAAAAATTCTAAAGACATTCTGCTTGACCAGACCAACACAGAAGGCTACACATGCGCACCAACAAGGATGTTGATTCAGGAACACTAAATCATGTGCTCTTCGAAATTATGTTTTATAATTCAATGAAATAATGTCTTTTATTTTAGTTTGATATTTTTTTTTGTATTTTTAAGGGATTGTATGGCACTAAATTATATATTTGTAATATATTTTTGAGCATAGACCTGAAAATAATATTTTTTTCAGGACCATTTAATCTGTCCGAATCATGTGACATGATTTTTTTTTGTGTGTTCACATAAAAAGTGCCAAAACCATACCAAGTTTCGTATCGTTCTGATGAAGTAATAAATAAACAAATGCACTATTTTTCAGTCAAAAATTACCAAAGAGCACCAGAGGGTTAAGCGTATACCTGTGTCAGGTGGTTTGTTGATGAGCATGGTGTGCATGGCCATGATGTTGGGTCCGGTGAAACACTTCACATACTTCAGGATCTGAGAAACAAGCACTCAAATTAAATTTAAAATAGATTTTGTTGTGTATTTTTGTTGCATAGTACTGTGTTTGTGTCTACCTGGGGTAAAGTGCAGTAGCGGAAAAGTTCTGGATCTTCCTGGAAGTCCTGAAGTTTGGTAACAGCCTTCTCGCCTTCAACAAACTCGGATTTAGCAATGGATACATCTCTCATTACCAACAAACCAGGCACCTTCACCTCTTTCTTACAGATGCGCTCAAACTCTTTCCTGTGAAATACACACTCGTTTATGTACAGACTTTGTGCAAAGCAGAGCACAGATCTCTTTAAACTTCGCTTCAGAGTTTCTGTTAATGATCTACTCACATGTACATGTAGCCTAATAAGCACCTATTAATCCCACTGGGCAGAATTTCTCATTGATTGAAAATGGCAGATTTGCATAACTTAATGCAATAAATATTAGAATATGTGACGTAAACCTCTGTGATTAGTGGATATATAACAGTGGATTACTTTTACAAAATAAATATCAATATTTGCTCACCAAATTAAGATAATATAAGACTTTATATTATGGTGGCAGGTAAAACATTAAAGAGACAATAAAGACATATTGTTTGCTGTATTCTCTGTATATAATCAAACTATGTATGGTAGATTTAGGGGCAGTTCAAACAGTATGCATTTTTGTATGAATTCAGTCTGCAATATTTCAATTACAAGTAGCAATATTTCAATAAAAAACAAGCTTTTCTGACTGACATATTTCTTTAGTTCTGTTTTAAAAACCAACATTTTTAGTTAAAATCTAAATGAATAAGTTCAATGCATTTTTTTTTTTTTTTTTTTTTTTTAAAATTGTTGGATCAGTCATGCCTGAATTGGTCAATATCCTCGTCCGATACCAAGTTTCGGATGAGTATGAAACCATCCTTTTCGTAGGCGATTCTCTGTTCTGGAGTCAGGAGATCCGTGTCAAAAGTGTATCTGCAGACAAACCAGAACATTCTTTACAACCAGAGTAGACCAAACACCAACTATTTAGAGACATATTTAAAGACTAAAACAATTATAAAATTAGTTGTACATGATGATAACCACAGGAAAAGACATTGAAAGATCAGCTGACTAACTGAAAGGCTTGAGGATGATGATGATGATACTGATAGGACACATTTTGGGCAGAAGTGAAGGATGCTCGCTGAATAATAAGGTTAAAGTTCATAATTTATAACATGTCAATAACACAAAACAAGTAACTTAAAGAATTGCTGTGCTTTATTTGATTTATTTATCATAGCAAAAGAGTAATTATAGTTAAAACATGATCCAATGTTGTTAAAAATATGTATATCCATCGATAAAAAGTAGCGAGCAATAAACGAGGCCTTTCCGTAAAGCCTCGGTTTATACTGTATGTGAGATCCCGGAACAGCCGCTATCTCGCGCCCTAGGCGTCCTCGATCACACGGGTTTGAGATCATCGCGCCGCTCGCTCGAAAAACCTCTGTAAAAGGATACGACAGCGCCGTGAGACCGATCCAGATGATTCAAAACCACTTTTAATCTGTCTGCGGCCCGGGACATCTTTAATCCAGTAAAGTGTAGAGTGTAGACGATGAGAACTGATCTGCCGTGCGTTTGAGTGTGTCTGTGTGATGATATAACTGGGGTAAAGTGCACTACACTTGCACTGCAGTGTCAAAGACTCAGAGGACATTTGATTTACAGTAGTCATTAACCAATAAAACCTCTCTGAAATAAATAATTATATATGAAAAACCTATGAAACTTCCACAAAATAATAGACATATAAAAATGTATTTATGATATTATTATATATAAAATAGGCTATATAAAACCAGTATAGATTAGGATGTCAACAGGGATGAAAAAGAAGCTTACAAGATTCAAAATGAGCACTTTTGTCTGTCTTCACAATAAAAGGATGTGTTTAACTATGATTTAACAATGATGTTATTTTGACAGCATCAATTGCCACAATTCTGCATTAGCTAATAAACTGCCACAATAAAACAAGTGGTTCACTGTAGAAATAACAGTTTGAGTTACAGATAAGAGCTGAAATACATATTATTTTACACACACACACACACACACACACACACACACACACACACACACACACACACACACACTCACACACATTGGGTTTTCACATATTATGGGAAACTTTCCATAATGAGATTTAAACTACAAACTGGATTCTATCTACACCAACACATAAAACTTTCTCTATACGTTATCAAAAAATATAGCTTAGTATGATTAAAAAGCTTTATTAAGTTTAATTAAACCAACAAAAATATGAGGAATTTCTATTTTTATTTTTAAATCAGGCAAGAACAAAACTCTAAACTTGCTTTGCAAAAAATATGTTAGCACAATTTGCATGTTTCATTGCCTTATCACAAATAAAACAATTGACTACAACAACACACTATTAAATCAAATACAAAATCTGCTTAAAATCACACTATTATTTTATATTGTATAACACCATGAAGTGTGAAATATATTTCAATATTTATATCAGAATCTAACAAAAGAGCTGTCAGACATATTTCAAGACGATAATTCAAAAGCTCTTCATGATTTTTAAAGATTAATGCACAGATGGGTAATATAACAGACATTAAATATTCAGACAAAATGTAAATGAATTGTATTGTTTTTATTGTTGTTGTCCCTAACAAATTGCGTACAGTTTTTAAATATTAAAAGCTTAAATTTAACTTGGTATAATAATATTATTTTTAAATGATTACTGGCATAATCTTAAAAGAAGCCATCAAATACATCAATCAATAATTGCAAATATTTTTTTCATGAAAAGTTGGACAAGCAGCGTTTGCATTTTACTACTAACAACCACTCAAGATGAGAAGAAGAAATCATGCTCATTCTGCATCTGTGTACGGAATATAACATTAGCCTTGGACACTTTTTCAGGTGTGTTCAGAGACTTGTTCAGCAGAGCTCTGTAGTGTTTCTCGGGATGGCCGCCCATATTGTCCACCTTCCAAGTGTAGTAGGCATTGGTTGGAGGTATGCTGAGATTATTACCCAACCACACCCAGAGTCTAGAGCAGGGAAGGAGACCCACAGCAAAGTACAGCGGATCTTCTTTTTCCAGCAGGTTTCTGTAGAACGACAGATACTTCCTCATAGCTGGAGTCTGCTGGATGGGAGGCTCACCCTGGAGAAATGACAATATAAAGCATCTTCAGTGGATTCAGAACTAGCTTAAAAGTTTAAAGACTTTGTGTTTCTGTTCTTACCTTGAAAAAATATTGTTTGAGCATAAAATCTGCGAAGCTTTTGTAGCTTGAGTATCTGCCTTTCATGAAGTCCCTGAGTTCAGTGGGCTGAGTATCTTTTCCACTCAATCTCTTCAGCATTCTGGTCACTCTCAGTAGATAGCCGATGTCCTGTATGGTGAAGTTGACGTATCGCTCCGCCTGAAGGCTGCCGTTCTGCATCTGTATCAGAAAGTCAGTCCCAAGTGTCTTATTGGCGATGTCTTTATTCTTCTCCCACAGATATTCGTACACATCTTCCACAGAGCTGGCTGCCTGGCTGCTGTAACTAAAAGCAAACTGTGTCTCAGATTCGCACAATTCATCACTGAAGACAACATTATGCATTCATTTATATCATTTATATGACGATGGAAGGACTCACCTGAAACCTAAGAAGCAGAAACACAGGAGGGTCGTGGTCTTCATGATTCTTGGATCTTGTAGTGCACTTCAGCTCTGATCTGTAATCTGTCATTTCTTCAAGTCTTTTATAGTGCTGCCAGTTTATTAGCTAATGCTGAATTGCGAAAATTTTGGGTGTGCGTTGTGGATTACAGAGAATATGACTACAATTTCTTTATATAAAATGATCATATCGAATCTTATGAACTTCCTTAGCAACCCTGTTGACTTCCTATCCCCTCTCTCTCTCTCTCTCTATCTATCCATCCATCCATCCATCCATCCATCCATCCATCCGTCTGTCTTTCTGTCTCCCATAGTTTTGTGTTGTTTAGCAAAACTAAAAATGCCTTTAAATAATATGTATATAGTACAGTTACCTTTTCATTTCTCTAAAAACTATATATATATGAAGAGTTCAGATGCAAAAGCCTCTAAATGCCATTTGAAATTTTCTTCTAAAATGATCATTTTTATCAAGCTTATATATTCAAGTTTTTAGTAATTTCACTTAAATGACAATTAATAGGTAATCCTCATTGTAATTTAAGTGAAATTACTGAACTTAAATATACAAGCTTGATAAAAATGATCATTTAGAAGAAAATTTCAAATGGCACTTAGAGGCTTTTGCATCTGAACTCTTCATATATATTTTTTGCATTGTCATAAGAATCTGGCATTGCATAACAACAGTTCAATAGTTCATGCCTCAAAAAACAAGGGTTCAGTAGTTCATGCCTCTTCGAAAAATAATAAAAAAAAGCTTTGAAATTCTAAACGCTTCATGTGTCATTTTTTATGCTGTTTTGTGTTTGTACTAATATTCAATACAAAGTCATTTTTATCATGAACAATATTCATTAAACAAAACAGTTTTAAATACTAAATATAGGCCTATTTAATACCTAAGTTTATACTACTTTTAATTTTTAATGTTGTCATATTTCACATTTCGTTACATAAAGCTTGTATATCTTATAGTATATTTTATAGGGATATATATATATATATATATATATATATATATATATATATATATATATATATATATATATATTTGTGGGTTTCTGACAACAACGGAAAGTGTGAGTTACCCCACATAATTACACCAGTGCATTATACAGTAATGTGTATGTGGTAATCTTCTTTTGAAAGACGTGGCAGGAAGATTTCTCTTTCTGTCTTTCTTCTTCTTTTTTGGCTATGAATTCCTGTAATAGATTTTAGACAGTTGCATTTTGAAAAGGCCATAATTGCAATCATGCAAATGAGTCACACAGTGACGTCACGAGTACATGAATAAAACGTACTCTTGCAAAAAAAATTCTCGGCATGTGGTGTCGGTGTGTGAGCATGTTTTGTGCAGTTTGTGTTGGTCTTTGTCACACGTTCAATTGAAATAAAAAAGATAGAACAGTTTATCAATTGCAAAGTGTGCGTCTCATTGCATGCACAAGTTTAAATTTATTCTAAATGTCACGAAACATTTTCTTTTTGTTTCATCTGTCCATAGAACGTTTGAATGGTCAGGGTTAGGGATCTATGGTCAGATGAAACAAACAAATGAGCTTTTGTGGCAGAAAACACTTAATATGTAATATTCTGTATGGAGGAATGGTCTCTGATCTCTTGTCAGGTGTTCTCCAAACTCATCAGGCATTATAGGAGAAGACACAGCTGTTATCTTGGGAAAATGAGGTTGCAAAAATTATTCAATAATTGTGGCCAACGTGTTTTGGTTAAAAGCATTTATTTCATAATGTGATTTCCCACTACTTTCTATTCCTTTACTTCAATGACAGGTTAGAGTTTTCCCTGGTGGTTTTTATGTTTTTTTTTTTGGGGTACAATCTAGGTTGGTATCCGAACATCCCTTTCAGACAGCTTCCTCTTGCGTCGACAGTTAGGCTACTCCTGTTGAATGTGGTCCGTCCTATGAGGTGGCAAGCTGACATTACCCTGAACACCACAGCTTGATATACCAGACTTGCTGTCCTGGTCACAGATGAGCCAACAAGACAGACACACCAACAATTTGTCCTTTTTTGAACTCTGATGTGTCTCCCATTATGTTATGGATTGTAATATTTTACGTAGCCTACAGCTGTGCTATTGCTCTGCTTTGGAAATTTCACACAAAATGAAATTTCTATAATGACCATAAGCTGTGAGTCAGACATCAATTACACAAATGGACATTCCTAAGCAGTTCCCCAACTTTTCCCACATTTCCCCATGTGACGTCTGCGGATGGAGAAATATTCACTGATGTAAAAATGTATGACAATTTGCCCCAGTTTCCTCTAATAGCCCACTCTAAAAATGCTGGGTTGTTTTAACCCAACTTTGGGTCAAATTATGGACAAACCCAAACGTTAGGTTAAAAATGTAATAAAAAATGTTGACCCAATGGGTGGATTTGTCCATATTTGACCCAAAGTTGGGTTAAAAAACCCAGCAATTTTTAGAGTGCCTTTATTATTAACTGAAAGCTGTTGTTACCCAAAACTGTCAGGACATAGGAAACCCAACCAGAGATGAAAAATAAAACATTAACAATGAGCCCCAAATTAAGTAAATTAATTATTATTTATTGTTTTTAAATCAAGTTTGTGAGGATTAAACCTACAACATTTCGTTAACCAAATCAATCAAAAAGGGATAGTTCCCCCCAAAATTAAACATTTGTCATATTATTTATACACTTAATCACCCTAAAATATTATAGTCAATGGGTGCCCTCACCTGTGTGGTTACCAACATTCAATTAATTTTATTTTGTGTTCAACAAACCAAACAAGGAAACTCAAACAGGTTCCGAACACCTTAAGGGGGAGTAAATTATGACAATTAAACATTTTGGATGAACTCTCTCTTTAATCACGACGACGCCACAACACGAAAAACACAAGAGCAGATGTTTCATAGTGCCAAATATACTGCAGGTGGCGCTGTTTGTCAAGTTACATGTCAGTGCTATGTTCAAATAATTGTGCAAGAAGGTTTCCTCTTCCTCCGATGTCACCCCTAGGCGGAGGCGTCAGTAGACGGGCAACAGCAGCACCCCTCCCGGCCTCGAGCACTGTACGCTCCAGGGAAACAAACGCTCGCCATACTGAACCACACGCGAAGCTCCTCCGACCCGTTCTGCTGAGGATATTAGCTCAAGTTTGACCGATAAAGCTCGGGTGAGGTTGTGTGTTTTTCGTCGGAAAGGCGGCTTGTCTGTTGGCGGAGAGTGGAAACACGGCATCCGGCCTCCGAGAAGCAGGCGAGGGCAGGGACTCGCGTCCGAACAACGTTTACCGTCTCTGGTAAGTGTGGCGTTGTGTTTATTACAACGGTCATTTTCGATTAGACGTGACGCTAATATGATGTTTGTCACTTCTGTTTATCAAACAAAACTGCCAGCTTTTGAGGAGTGTTTGGGTCGAGTAATCTGATTAAATGTTGTTTAATCGACGGTTGTTTTGTCAACACGAACGATATGTTGTGTTCAAATGTGGCTGTTGTTAGTTTAGCTATAAAAGGAAAGCAAAACTGTTGCTCATAAGTGTTTATTTAAGCTTTGACGAGTAACGTATCCGAATTCCACCACCTGGTTAAATAACAGTCTTGACAGTCTTTGTAGATTTGTTTTTGTAGTTTTGTTTTACGTTATTCTCTCCACTTGTGTCGAATCATAATACTGAAATTCAATTGTTGTGTTGAATAAACATTTATTTAAAGCTTTTCATTTGAACCAGTTGTTATGCACGTGCACTACCAAGACTGATAGAATCCATCTAATCCCATATTTGTCCATTTAAATTTCATTTTATTCCCTGATAAAAGTTTTTACAAGTTAGTGATTTCTTGTTATTTTTGTTGAAACTTCGCATAATTGGGACATATGCACACTTTTTTCTATTTAATTTTTTTTTAACACTTTAAAACATACACATTTATAACGAGTATCTATCAGATAGCCTACTTATTCAGAAAGAAAATAAGTGTGATCAATGACAAGTACTGTGTCCGTACTGTGATTTATAAGGATTTCCGAGATTAGTAATTAATTTCAGAACCTTTTAATATTGCAATTGTTTCATCTGTAATATGAAATACAAATAAAAAGACAGTATGGAGGTTATTTCAACTTGACAATCTGTGTAAAATGCACTTTTAGGCCCCTTTAACGTCTATATTTAACATTTATTATTCACTTTTTCAAATGTCAAATTCCTCATCCACACATTCTCATGGCAAACCGCAGGTGACTTCGTGACGCTGAGAAATGTGTTGATGGGTTTAATGAATCGTGAACGTGGACAAATGTATTCCTGCCCTCCAGCAGAGCAAAGGGGGTTGTGTTAAAATACTTGTGTAGAGAACACCAGTGTAGTGCCAACTTCATATGCCCTCCGTTATGCCCGGGCTATTTATGCGAGTCAAGCAAATGCAGCGGATGAAAATGTGCGTGCATTGAATGCCGCAACTGAGCTGACATGAATATGAATACTTGTGCCTTGTTTGGATCCAATTATGGGCCAGTGGCCAATTTAGGGGTTTGCAAGCCCAGGGATGATGCCTATTTCTCAATCAGGGGCTCTTGAGATGGAAATGAGGGTGCGTTCCACAGCCTGGCATGCAGCTGTTGCATGGATGATCCAAATTGGGGATTGTGGCTTGGCTGTTCTCAGTATGGGAAGGTTGGATGTAATGTGACCCACATGGTGATGCTGATAATGAATGTTGGGTATATAAAATATTGGCATGCCATTGTTTGAATACATGCTCTAGTTGTGATTTTGATGATGATAGTCAATGTAACATGAGGACAAAGGGTCCATGCCTCACCCAGATGAAACCCATGATACAGTTTCACGTCGTCTTAGTGTGTTGTGACAGTGGAGCAGGGTTACATGGCCTTTGTCATTTCTGGGTCCTTTGTACGCTGTCTTTATTGTGGTGGCGGATCATGCTGATTATGCATGGCCCATAAAAAGGCGGCGTCACAAAATAAGCGTCTCTCACTCTTATTCTTTCTTTCTCACACACCCACGCACACTTTACACTTTTATTTTTGTC